AAGGATGTAGACAGTTGCTAATACACCTCAGATCAGTGTATTTAATATTATATATATTCAATAGTAATGTGAAACGAAAAGATTAATTTAGATACACAAAAAAGAGAGGTATACTATTTTTTACACTTATTCAAACAACAAATAGATAGATATCTGAACATAGGGTTGTTTTATACCAAGGGAGTAGATTATAATATTAACTTGACAGTATATAAAATTGTAGCTTTGTATCTAACATGTTCAAAGTAGCAACCAGATGTTGGATCATAAGCTGAAGAGCCAAAATGAGAAATTACTAAGAAAGGTTCCTGAGTGGTATCTTGCTTTATTCTCCCTTGTGATCCACTTTTATTATATTCAAAGTTAAATTTAAAGGAAACAATTCTCACATACCACTGTTTTTGAAATAACTATATAATGTCCTCCAGACCGGATTTCAGTCACAGCGGCCAGTCTCAACGGAGACTAGACATCAGCACAGGACAGGATTATAGTGCCCAAGTATATGCGCAAGCACAGGTGCACTCTCTATTCCCACACTCTCATAATCCGATGGGACGGTAAACTGACATGACTGCAGAGTGATCAAGTACAAGACCAACGGCTTTACGTGCTTTCCGAGGCACGGGGGTGAGACATTGCCAACTTCCTAACTCCGGGCAGCTACTGAGAATTTCCTGATGGAAAAACTCAATAATTGAATTTTTGGCCCGTCCCAGAATTCAAAGCCAGGACCTCATGATCGCAGTTGCATACTACAACCACTAGACCAACGAGGCAGTCATATATATATAAATATATTGTTGGACCAGAATTTTGTTTTATAGAAGATTTTTTTATATACATAATGCACTGTAGAATGGGTCATAAGGAACAATAAAAGATTTTAAAAACATAGTCAACAAATAAGATTTTTAAAACATAGTCAACAAAATACAGCTTGTTAGGCTTTTTTACACTAAATGTATAAACTTTCCTACACATCCTTTATTATCAGTTAAGACAGAAAATTTACAAAATTACAAAAATTTAACAAATGCAAACGAAACGAATTTAACCTTTTGAGCACCACGCCAAAAACGCATTACAGTGTACTGTACGCAAAAGCGAAAAGTAAACAAAAATACCTACGAAAAAAATAGTGTTGCCAAGAGTTGATATATCGATAACACGAAATAACTTGATTGACTTGATTTTGTTGGTTCTTTATGCAATAAATGACTCTTTACAATCAGGTATGTTTTATTTAATGTTGTGCTGTCTTCCACTCTTTTTATATATGTACTTTACATATAAATAAAAAACAAACAACAATAAAATAGTAGTAAACCACAGCACTACTCTTCCTCATGATGACGTCACTATCACGACTGGACGACAAAGGCGTAGCTGACCTTCGTTTTTGAAAGTTTCTTAGAGATGTAGCCGTGTCGCACATTGTGTATTGATTTTGAAATCGATCTAACCAAAACATACAGAAATTGACTCAAAATATTTTAAGTGTCGGGGGAGGCGTAGGCTAACTGAAGCACAGAAGAAGTCTTACGCTCTTATGACAATGGGGGTTTGATATGATGCTGATGCTACTAGATGATTTTGAGATTGAGAAAGAAAATCGCACAAGACAAAATGTAAAATTGCTTTTCATACCTTAAGAAAAAATAAACATTTATTACTTGTAATTTTATATTAAAATAAAAAAATCATCATCATCGACACTTTCCAAAATGCGAATGAGTTCTAAAGAATCATTCATGTTGCACTGCACTACTTTTTCCATTATTCGTTTATGACTTCATCAGGGTGTCATCTATCCTTGACCACAGCGCCCAATGAACTGATAATCGATGACACGCCAAGGATGCGCCAGCGTTGAGATGTCAGATTAATTATTCAAAGTTGATTTGATGAAATTTTCTTTTATTTATGTAGCTGATGATAGTTTTATGTTTCTTACCTTTTCTTTTATTCAAATATCAATAATAATTTAAAAAATAACACGTTTGCATTTAATTTTGAATAGTTTTCAATAAATCTATGCCTAACACATTACAACACTAGTGGTCAAACATAGACGACTTTGGCGTGCTGGACATAGTTTTTGCTTAGATAAAAATCCACTTTTTTAGATCAATGTTTCTTAGTACTTGTGGCTCTAGGAGACTTGTTTTTTTATACTCACATGTTACTGGGTTATTCTTTTTTGAGTAGTGTAGAATTAAAATACCAGTAATAATTTTCTAGTATCTATATTTCATATTTTTGTGGGCCGGGTTTTTTGTCAACTATAGACGTCGTTGGCGCTCAGGGCCCGCAGGTGCCGGTCAAGTATAGGCGACTTTGGCGTTCAAAAGGTTAATATCACGACTAATATGTAGGTATTTTAAGCATCTCCTTCATACCAAAAGACAAGACAAATGATTTTGTACTTGATTATTAGCACTAACTTCTTAAAAGGTACGGGTCAAGTTTGAAGAAGTTACACAGTTATACAATAAACATTTTAATATTATATGTACTAAATTTCTTTAGAAACTATTTACCTATCCGCTTGTTGTTTTACATGAACATATGTAATAATAGCGACCGTGATAGAACATGATAAACCTAAAACAATTTTTGATGTTTGGGACGACATTTCACAATTATCTTATTTTTACTTCATTTGTCGAATTTGTAGATCAAAGAACAAAAATACAAAATTCAAAATTTATGTTTTGATTTTGACAGTTTTGACAAATGACTTGACTTCTATCTTCTATGAACTTTTTTCTTAAATGCAAAAGGGATTAATTACCATACAGCCTAGTCCGACGTATTGTTCGGAAAATTCTTTACAATAAATCTTAGCAACATTACGAAGTTTTGTGTGATTTTGAAGACAGATTAACACAGCGGACTAACAAACTAATTAGACAATGACGAAAATATCATACGGTGCAATCCTTAGCGGAAACGAGGATTGTATCACCATCAAAGCTCTTGTTACGTCGTTATAGTTCACATACGCAAACATTTAATACGCGTTAGCTTATTTCATTTATATGGGGATTTTATCTCTTCTAAATATGACTTTAAACAATAAATTAGAGCAACCAATCCACCGACTTAGACTTTTACCGTTTAGACTTCGTAATTAGTGTCAACAAAATGGAATGTTAGTGATAAGAGTGAGTGAATTGGTGACCGATACTCGGTGGTAGCGTTTCGGTTGACGCTCCCCTATGACGGCGCCCCGCCCAACGCCATATCATTTCGGTAATAGTGACGTTAATAACTGCCGATCGAATTACCAAAATTTTTGACACTTTAATCAAAACACTTAACATTTTAGTTCACTTTATTTCGCTTCTAAGTCTTCACTTGTATCGCCAATTGAATACTGCCCCGGTCAGGCCCAAACGGCTTTATATAGGCCTTTTCCATCGAAACATCTAGAATTTTCCAGCATATATCGATCCCGACCGACTAGATGTAAAAAATTCGAGTGTGGAGTTTTCTAGAAAGCTTAGTTCTTCTATTCGATACTAAATGGCGCTAGTGGGAGAGTTCTAGAAAGATCTTGACGCTCCTATTTCTGCTGCTTGATACCAGATGGTGCTAATAATCACCCGCCATATACCGGGCGCTAAATATAGCGCGCAACAATATCAAGGCGCAGTGCATAAGCGTTTGACTGCCGTGCTGCGGGCCTCATGTTCGACTCCCCAGCACGGAATAGGTTTTTTTGTAGCCTACACATAAATTTTCCCGATCTGAATATTTGTTCATGTCCAATTTATTGTTTATAAAAGCGTCCATGATCATTCTGTATAAATCAGAACGAACCGTGCAACGAAGAGATCGTTATCGGTCGTGTACCGTCCGGTGAGCAAAAAATATCGGTACGTTATACGAACTTATTCAGAAAAGGCAATGTATAGTAAAATTAATATAATAATAGTAAAACTAGTATAGCCCTGGTGTATGCCCCTGAATCACATACATATGTGTAAATAGATCTAGGTGTCTATGACTTAAGTTTCTCTATACTCGTAGATAAGATATATAGACCAGTGACCGTTTTTATAGCTAAACCATAATGTACTCTGTGAGCTAAACTATGGAGTGTAGAAGTTAGGAGTACAGACTGTGTATTAAAAAGTGTCCATAAAAACCTTTAAATAGGGTAGCACTTTTGCTACGGGGTAAATTTTAAAGAACGCACCGAAAAATATCAGTGGGATAGACGACTTTTTCGAGGTTATATTTACTAAATAAAATTATTTTAGATTTTAGAGCTACTGAGCAGTTTAGCAGCACACTTAAACCGTCGACAACTGCTAAGTTCATTTCATCTCAGTAGCTACTCCAGCGCTGTTGTGGAGAGTTTTTGACCTGTTATTTACTGCTTACAGATGACCTCTTTTTCAACTATTCCAGTATGGGAGTTGGTACTCCTTACTTTTACACTCCATAATCTAAACGCTGGTGGTGATTATTATTTTAGCCTTTACGCTATAAGTCGCGTGTAGTTGGTAAACATTTTAAAATAATCTATTGTAGTTGTATTAACTACATTTAGTAATAATGGTTTGATTATTATTTATATCAGTTAAAATAATACAACAAAAACGTAAAGAATTTTTTTATGAATTAAAATTGTATATTACATACTTTAAGTAATAATAAATACAATTTTAAATAAAAATATACACATTTTTTAAATAATAAAAATGCTTAAAAATTAGCCTTAAAATAACAGAGTATTTATACAATTCCTATAGTACTTAAGTACTAAAGGGTTACAAAAGTTGTTCAAAGTATCACAAAATAATTAGAGAAAATATCTCCACGCTGTAACATCTTTATCATTAAAATACCATGTCAGAATAAAATCTTCAACCACAGTGCGGACATCAGAAAATGACGTCAGTCTCAAACGTCCATTCGTATCACTTAAAGCTCTCTCCTTTATTTAGCCACAAATAATAAAGCGCGTGTCACAAAATATGGCACAGCTACCTCCCGCAGTTATCATAGAAGCTTGCAGAGCCTCGGTTTGGAATCTCGGCAAATTCACGTTTTGGCGTGCACAGTTTGCTACTGAAGTCTACATTTCTTTTCCTGTTGAAAAGATAGAAGTTTAGTAAAACAGTTTTATTATACAAGACAATTTTTGCTGAGTAAATATTATTTACCCTCTACTAGGCAATTCCATTTGGTCAACGAGAACTGATTTTACATAAAGACGATCATTGCACCAGAGAATACACAAAGATCGCGGTTCCAGTACATTCATGTCGTACTCCCACGATAACTCAACCTAAAATATTCAAAATATTTAATTAAATTTTTACGTACTTATTACTGTTATTTAATTATTTTGCTATATTTATTAAACATACTTTTCTTATTTTACCACCCAAATCCATAGGATGAGTGACTACTATTGTATAGGTAGTGCCGTGCTCTAATCTGTAAAAAGTAAAATATACTTATTGAAGAATTGCGTGTATTAAAATGTTTTTAAACGTTTAATATAATGTGCAGATCGCTTACCTTACATAATTGTTTGGAGTCAGATCCATTCCTCTAATAACTCCTCTTTCAGACATTAGAGTTACTTTCAAAAAGCCCTGTTGGTTTTAAAAAATACGTTAACAAAAATACTTAATAAAAAAAGCTTTTTTTAATATTCTAAGCAAATGGCTACACCGTTTGCTTTTGCTCATGAGTCATGACTATTTTTTTATAAAACTGAAGTGATAAACGAACGTGCAGTCCAGCTGATGGTAAGTGGCTACTGCAGTCTACGGACACCTGCAGCCAACTTCATACAAAGAATGCTACAGATGCGTTATCAGTTATCACCTATCAGGATTAAGATGGGATTTTTTTTATAGGAGAGTGGGCAAACGAGCATACGGCTCACCTGATGATACCCGCCGCCCATGAGCAACTGCAACACCTGGGGAATTGCAGATGCGTTGCTGGTCTTTAACCCTCACATACTGTAAATATTAGTGGCTCTATATACTCCTCAGACTGTAACGCAGCAATTGCAGTACTGTTTGGTGGCAGAAATAGGTAAGAACGTGGTCCAGACGCAGACGGACTTCCAGGCAAAATAGGAACCTACCAACTATAGTACGCGAGGGTAATCCTGTTAATATGATTACTTTCTTATAACTCAAAAACTAAAACCTTGTTTGCATAGATGGCTTTGTGATACAATAGCTCTTCATCGGTCAATAAAATAATAAGGGGTCAAAAGACCGCTGCTTTATCGACGCTTTTTTGACAGTTGACATTATAGTAAATGTTTTAGTCGATTTTAGCATCGAGATACTATGTACTAAGCACTACAATTTAGTTCAATGGATTTTAGTATGGTGCAGTGAAGTGAGTTTTTTTGAAGTTGATTTTTCGAAATGTTCATAACTATTGCCAAAGTTTGTTTGATTTTTTTTCTTAACAAATTATTAATAATATACGACTTTGTGTTTTTGTCTCCGTCCTCCTCCTAGTTTTGGTTTTGTAGGGCAGTAAAGCTTAAAGTGACCATATTACCTTCACGTACCTTACATGATAGACCGGTCTAGGTGCGACTCGAAAGGTCCACACGACTAACGTCCCAGTGGAAAGAATAAAAAATATATGTTTTAATATTTTATACAATTGGTCATTCGGCACAAAAAACGACATGACCGATTTTGCTCAAAATTTAATGATGTGTACGTTACATAATTATGCGTTAAATGAAACTGACCCCATGTCAATATCACTCTTTGTTCTCGAGAATACGTACATGTGCACACAAAGACATCCTCTTAAAAACCATTCTATTCGACTCTAAAGACCTTGAAACGTGGAGATATGTTAAAATTTCTAATTTGCAAAATCGGACCTATTACAATACCTTCCCACCGGGAAGTTAAAAAAGAACTATTTATATCGATTGAGCCGTTTCTGAGAAATCAGTGAACACACGAGAAAATACACGTCGAATATGAAATTTCCACGTTTTTATTGTCACTTTCTCGTTTGTCTATCTGTCTGTTCCGGGTGGAATCTTGCAACTCAAATTTCGAGCACTTAACACTTAAACTTCTAAATATATCGGACAATATATAAAACGTACAACGTACAATAAATATTTTTTAGTAAAAAATTAAAAATAATCACTTGTTAGATCTTAGTAAATTCTTAAAATTGTTAAAATTTGAAATCTGGATTCTAAGTTAGGATCAATTTGTAGGTATATGTTATGGACGACTCACAAGGTCAGTTGAACTGATCAATCCAACTGATCAGTTCAAACTAGGACTGTTGATATTTTTTAAAATACCGGTTGTACGATATATCGATAATTATAAATATAAAAGCCGAAAATTTTAATAATATTTAAAAAAATATCAACAGTCCTAGTTTGAACTGATAAGTTGAACTGTCCGTGTGTGTCGTCCATTAGATTTTATGATACGGTTACATTAAATAAATTACCTGAACCCAAGATTCAGCACCTTTTGGATTGGCCAGCTGTATTGCAATTTTGTAATGTCGATCTGTAATTAAAATGGTGTATTGCGTTTATTTTCATTTCAAACATAAAATTAAAATTTAGTTTTATAACTTACGGCAAAAGGGTTGCTCTTTTCCAGTGCTTAAATAGTATTTGGCCCCGATTGTTTCTTGTTCTTCAGAAGGGAAAACTTCGTTTTCAGTCTGATTGTTTTTGTTTGTGATGAGACCAGGTGAACTGTCTGCATGGAATCTAAATGATTTGACAAAATTTTACATTAAATATTCGTTAAAGTTTTTAATTTTGTTATTTTCATATATAATCTATGATTATTAATAAAATATTAAGAGTTTAAAAAGCTCTGATAATCCTAGTGAATATACTAGATCACAGTCATGAAATTATTGTATTATCATCAGTTCTAAATACATCTTCTAAATTACAGATTATTCAGACTTCTGGAAGTAGATAAATTTGAACTATAAAATTCTATTACATTAATTAATACTTACATAGGTACATACACACATAATCGTACTGGCCAAAGTAATACAAAACGTATAAAAAATAACATACCCCATTATTGCACAGCCATGGCCGCAATGAAAACACTTTCCAGAGAGAAAATGTTGATACGATGGACACTGATGTCCTGTAAAAAACGTAAAGAATTAAAGTTAACAATTGAAAATAACAATAAGTTAGTATGTACCAGATGTTTAATTTAGGTAATCTTACAATTAACAGCTTACCTATGTATGGGCATTTTCCATTAATTGATTCTGTGAACAGTTTGATGGCTCTGACATGATTGCAAGCTACTAGTACCCTTGATGCTTCTTCCAAGCCCTGTTTTACTAGGGTGAGCGGTATTAACGGTCCTTCAGTTAGATCACAACCAGGTTGCTCCTTTCCATTGTTCGGGTAGAAATCTAGGTGCCCCACAGGCTGTGACATCCCATATCCTGCCATAAACACAAAATCTGTCGCACGCGTGGAATAAACGGGTGGAATATTAGTGGATTTACGCGATAAATATTTATGAATCAGAATATATATTTATACAACTACATGAATGATAGATATTTTATTCTGGGCAATAAGCACATAATATGTACAAAATATACATATATTACAGAATTTGTTAGTGTGTTAATTTACGAAAAGCTATAAGCGAATTTTATATATAAAAATAATTTAAGTTAAAATGGTACAACTACACAAAATACTTATGAATGAAATAGCGAGTGCAAATATTTGAAATAACGAACAATCATTTGTTTTACCTAATAGAAAAATGCTTTTGCCGTCGGTGTGGATAACATCTACAAATTCAGCGTCCGTTGGATCCAGCCTTACATGTGTGGGCATCCCTTGAAAATATGGTTCGGCAGGATCAAGACCTGTTATTCTTCCTAGCCCCTAAGAAATAAGAAGCTAAATCAAAGACAGCGTGAAGATCGTGTTATAAGATTATTAGGTTTCAAGGCGAAATATATGCTTTTCATTTCTCTTAAACTTACTTGTATCCTTTCTCCGGCGTAGCCAGCAGTGTGTGCACCCAACGAGTGACCAATAATATGTACATCAAGTGGACTCAAACCGTGCTCTTTCTGTAATTTAATATTAATATATAAATACATTTGTGTAATCTTGTTTTAAAGTTTTGAGGTATGCCTGATGAGATGTGTCGTGATTTCCCGAACGCTGCCCAGTCGAGTTGAATACGTCGACTGACCTCTCTCTAGGTCGAAGTTGGACTTACCTAAACATATTCATCAACAACTTCTACCTTAGTGCTCCCAACAACTACTCGCACAGGTGCGACATGGACGTTGCATATGTCTTTTGTTTTTTCCATGTTCATCTTAAAATCGTATTCGTTGAGGTCATTGAGTATAGTGCTTAGGTCCTCCAGTGATTCTGCCATAATAACTATATCGTCGGCAAATCGAAGGTGAGTAATGTATTCGCCATTGATATTAACACCGTATCCTTTCCAATCCAGTAGCTTGAAAGTGTTTTCCAAGGTCGCGGTAAGCGGAGTTTCAGGGATATTACGTCACCCTGTCTTACACCTCTCTGCTGTTGGATAGATTTTGTACTCTGGTTCTGTACTCGGATAGCCATCGTTTTCCATGTACTACGATTTTACTATAAATTAACTGTTATGTCGTTAAATTAAGTTTTTTATAGTTTTATTTTTAATGGTGTTTCCATTAGTGTTTGTTTTTGAAAGTATTCTGTTGTCTGTAATTAATAAGTGAATGTCATAGTAATTACCTGCAAAGTATTTATAAAGTGCGCTACTTCCAAGCCTACAAGTCTTGTGTTTGCTGTAGCTTGTGTATATAGCGGCAGGCTCCCGCCCGCCCAGTCCACAATTATTACATTGTAGTCATCTGCTTTCACCAATTCGTCTTTCATCTCACTAACCTTGAAAAATAAAAAGGAAATATTTTTACAAATACAAATCCAAATAAATTTATATAAATAAAGCATGTACTTACAGAGTAAAATTTTACAGAAATTTTAATCCATAGAGAAATAAACAACAGCATATAATATCGTTACAGCTTACTTTATTATTTAACTATTGACCCCACACTAGACCCACTGTTCTGTGGCGGTCTGATTTATTTATATTTGCCAAAAGTGAAGCTGGCGTTTACGTACAAATCATTACAAAATTCTAATTAAGTTTTATTATAAATTTTTAAAATATTTTTCTCTTGTGCATTGTAACATGTGCTATGTAATTTAACGCGTCGTGTGGTGGCGTTGTCAGAATATCCACAACCCCCATGTCGTCCCATTGGTATCGTAAAAAGCGACAGAGGGAAATTTAACTAAAAAAAAATGAAAGCAGCGTCTTACTTATAGAGTACTATAATACATACACAGTTTGAATAAAACTAAATTTACGGATTTTATCGCGTTTATTTCACTACTTTTACTTATTTTTAATTCCCGACGTTTCGGGTGCTTTACAGCAACCATGGTCACGGGGGGGGGACTGAGATGTTTGACGTTCCAATGTCATAGTTAGTCCGGCTACCTTCAGTTTTTGAATATTAATTTTTGGTCCGATTTACGCAAAACGAGCTTATAGTATCATGAAGTCTTGCAGTGGTATGCTTAGGTTTGGGTTTAATTTTGTTAATTATAGGATCCCAAGAAGGTGGCAGCACCCATCCATCTTCTCTATTGAAATTTGGATGTTTTTTAATTTCAATAGCCTCGCGTATCATCCTTGGTAGGAATCGGTGTTCTTTTGTGAGAATTTGTGGTTTATCAAAACGAATGTAATGGTGGGGACGATCTTGATATCTTGATAAACCACACGATCTTGATGGCTGTAACGATAATGGCATGTAAGAGATCAAAAAGTTTTTGTGCTTACCCAATTTGATAACGGAGTATCAATGAATCCATGAATTATCATTTTGGTCAGCCGCCGTGGGTTGAAGTTAGATTTAATTATCGTTTTATTCATATTTACATTTAATATCTGACCCTCAGTTGGATTTTTCTTTGTGTATAAAATAAACCTGTAAAAAAACATTTAAACAATTGAGTGCAATCCAAAGTGTGTAGGTACTGATTAAAGGCGTAATTTATTTATAACAATTATGAATGTTTATAGCACAAATTAATTAAAAAGTAGATAATAAATTAGGGGCAAAAAAGTAAAATATTTATATATAATATTTTTGTATATATATATATATATATATATATATATATATATATATATATATAATATTTTTGTAAAGAAAACAAAAGACAAATAATAAAAACCTAGCAGATCCTTTTATGATTGCACACATTCACATTTAGGTTGTTGTTAAAACTAATTTGAATATTGTATTTTATTATAATTAATGAAAAGCCATTATAATTTGTTTATTTCAATTAATCATGAAAATCAAATCCCCAAAAATTTCAAGGAGCGGAAGTGCCATTGCGATTCTGATGGAAATAGTGATTAGCTTCGTTTTAAATTTAGATTCGATATATGTTTATTTAAAATGTTTAGTAATTTCAAAGCTACGTCGTCGCGATTGGATAGTGGTTACACTTTTTTCGACACGCGGTAGTGTGGTTTGCTCCTCTAGTTATGTATAACTCAATGCAATCATAAGGAAGGTGACATCATCACAGTCACCTTAGTTTCCAACCTCCGTCAAACGAAATTACAAACGTTACATGTTACGTATCATTATCTATGAACGCTCGGAAAAAAAAATGAAGGGATTTGAAGACGATGAAGCAAAAGCAGTAGCCACTGCAGTACAGGAATTTTTAGGTGTTTTTTTTAATCTAAGCTTAGAACACTAGACTTACTCAGACATTCCTAATGTATTTTACTCAAAGATTACGAATGAGAAACACAGTGTCAAAAAATAAAATTACATTTTGTAAAATTTGTCAATAACAAATGATTCAACCTTAATTTTTTTATTAGCGTACACACCCTAGATAGATATACACACCCAGCCGTGCGCGCACGCGTTGATACCATATTAACATATTACGTACTCACAACACATTTGGTCATACCCTACTTATAGGCACAGTTTGCATAAAAATTTAGTTTGCAGTTTGTAAGAAACTACTTTTTTTTTAAATTTTCTGAACCTTTTTATAAGACACTTACAAAATGGGAACTCATACTACAGTCTTAATGGACTGTAAAGCGATATATTGGTGTAAACGGCTTAGGGATCTGATAGCTGAAGATTCTTATACAGACACAGGCTTTCTCCCGGCGTTATAACATTTTACCCCGACCGATGAGAGTTAAAAATCCCAGGGAGAACTCGGATATAATCCATACTTTCAACACTAACCAATAAATTGTCACAAGCTGCTTATTATTATATAGAATGAAATATGTGAAAATTAAAAATATACTAAATGTGCCAATCATAACAGTAACGTTCCGAATGATTATCGAAAGAGCTAAAGGCTAAAATTGTGATTAATAAAATAATAACCTGGTGTTGATTACGACTCTTGGCAGCGGAAAAACGTTGAAAGGCCGATGGATTAGATGATACCAACTTCTTGTGATGTTTAGGCAGCCTAGTTCATCGTAACATCTTGTTTCATTTTCAACTGTAATAAAAATAATTCATTTAATACTCAAGTATTAGTTCACTAAGTACACGTATTAATGTCTTGAAAATCTTTATATTAGGGGTAAAAGTATAATGTTACCGTTTTAATGGTGTGGCCACTTGGAATTAAAATTAAACTAGATTAGATTAAAACTTTTTCTACGCAAAAACTACATTCCAAATATTTATTTTTATGAAATTCCATAATTTGACTTTCAGTTGTTAATATTTAGTATTTGAGTTAAACCGGACACTAAAGTAGTGATTAGGTATATGCTCTTTGACCGATATCTCAAATATTGGTAATATTATTATTTCCGTCGAGATGGCAGAAATGTTTAGATAATGAGGATAAACACTTTGCCCTTTATTAAAAAAATGTTTTTGTTAAGGCTTTGGGTGACAAGCGAACACACCATTCACCTGATGATAAGTGGATGCTGTGGCCCACAGACATCCACATTTATCCTCAATCAAGGATCAAAATGCAAATGCCTTGTCACCCTTGAGGACAAAGATGGAATGCCTCGATTCTAGTTAAAAGGGTCTACGGTTCTCTACACTCACCACACGAAATACAGCAGTATTACGCTAGTATTCTGTGAGAGCATGGTTCTGCCCCGGTCGAGCCGACTCATTCGTGCTACAACTATAATATAGCTGCAGCTTGACTTGTTCAACTTAAAACATCATTCAATACCTTCATCACTAATATATCGTAAATTAGGTACATACTTAACCGTCTTTACTTTTACAAAAGTTTATTTTCTTCACTTTTAGTCATGCAAAAAATTCTACGGAGATTTAAATTAGTTAACAATAATTGTATTACGTATTCATAAAATAATCCGTGTCATCGGATTGTGACACCACATGTCCACTGCTGAACCTAAGCTTCACCCAAGGAATGCGATAAAGCACGGGCCTGAGTCATTTGCATTCATCGACCTTATCGTCTTAAATAATCCGTGTAGTGGCGGTGAAAATATCCTCAACCGTTAATCATCCCGTGGGTGTCCTAACAGTCGACAGAGGGAAATAAATCAAGAGATGGGCGGCAGCGTCTTACTAATAATGACTAAATAAAAAACTGCGGTTACCAACTCGCTTGCTAAACGTGGCAGCTATGGCAAATATCATATATTATATATATTAGGAAATCCATGGGAGGAGCCTACGTTCAGTAGTGGACTTTGTTAAGTTGTAACGATGACGATAATGATATTAATAAAATAAAATAAAAAGTGTTTATTTTATCACTACAAAACCACAAGGTCTTGTTGCTGGGATAATAAAAATAAAACATAAATAAAAATGTATTTATTTTTCTTACCGCAAAACCGCAAAGGCTTATTACTGAGGTTAACATAATAGTTGATGTAACAAAGATAGCCGTGGATCGTCGCTTTTAAAATAGAAAGCATATTCGAGAATTTCAAGAAGACATCCTGTTTTAGTGTACGATGGATAAAAAGCAATTCTTTAAAAGTGCATTTAAATTTAAAGTATAAAGGAATGAAACGAACACTTTTTGAAACAATCTATTATGGGTGGCACACACGCTACGAGAAATCGTTACGATCGCACCGTACCGTTTAAACTGCACAGATCATCGAAACATGTGTGTGATAAAAACTGTACAGTTTTTACCATTTTTTGAAACTGTACCATGGAACTGAGTGGTATGAAAATTTTAATAGATAAAACGGAATCGGAGGAAACTGTGGCGATAATCGTAACGTGTGTTCCAAGCGTTCAGTTTTCGCCATTTCTCATAAAAGTGTTGCATTTCGATTATTGGCGTTACTATACACATCAAAAAAAAGGATGTATTACTATCGATTCTTAAAAAATCATGCCAGTCTCTTGGAAATGTCTTAAATTCCTTTAACAAATTTACATGAGTATGAAATTCTCTTTTCATTATCCAATCTTTACACAAGGTACTACGATTTTTTTGCCTCCTGATTTTTTTTGCCTCTTGTTTATTCATCAACAATAATGCAACAATACCTAATGCGTCGTCTGTCGATGCCATCGCGGAACGAAATGAATAAACTGCGCAGTTTTAATTAAACCTGTGTGGACTATAGGGACATACGATTTATCTTTACAGTTCGACTGCACAGTTTTATCGCAGAGATAAAACTGAAGGTGTGTGGCCCCCATTATTAAAAGAGAGGGCTAAGAAAAACAAAACGCTATGACTAAAATATGTATTGAGAGGAATCAATTAAGCGACAAGATGATTAAGACATGTAGAGTCATTATTCAATTAAGGAGTGCTCTATGAGTGCCGTAAATAGAATAAAAACTTTCCGTATTGTAAACACGAGGTAATTCTAATAAAGATTTTCTTTGGGATTTAAACGAGGTTTAAAATAGCACACTTTAAAGAGAAGCCCTTTGAGCACGTTCAATTTACATAACGATTGTTTTCAGCAACTCCATCTCAGGTTCACTGAAGCTAAGTTCCTCTAATTCTCGTTTAAACATACACGCTTAAATCACCAAAATCTGAAAGACTTATTTTAATACAAGGTCAACATTTGTTTGTTATTGATAAGCCATTTTTGAAGAAATAACAAGATTTATTTCTAATTTCCTCTTCGAGTATAAAATACTGCACATTTTGATATATGGATGTATCAAAAATTATGATCAAGCAATATGAAATCAAGACAGAAAACGTTCATAGAAAAAAAGGGCACTTTTACTTCTTACTATACCAATATGAAAACTTATTCATTTTCAATTTTCTTTTAAATTGGCCTAGTGTTCGAAACGTTTCCGATCACCTAACTTAAAAATTGGGTGTAAAAGCCATGCCAGTGCCATCTCAAGCATATCCAAGAAAATACTAGTAGTTAAGCTCAAGTTACAGATGTAAGTGAGAAGAGGATTATGATATCTTTGTGTTGTTGGAGAAAATGTACGTCTCATACAGTACCATAGTCACGTTTCAAAGATACAATAAAGCGTTTCATTTTTGTTTCGTTAATTTCGAAAGATTAGCCTGCTGCGCAAAATTTGTATTAGGTGGTATTTTAAATTTACTATTTTATATGCTGTTCTTCTGTAAGTTACCTCTTGTCACCAGCGAAATTGAATTTCGGGGATCTGTTCCTTTTAGATCACTAGGTCTTGATTATAAATTAGTTACACTACTTAGTTATGTTTGTGATATTTCAAATGAATTCCGATAATTTAGTTAAAATTTTACCAGCTTTTCCAAATTTATTTTTTCGTATTCTCTCTTTGCCTTTCGCAAAGGTGTAATACAAATATTGGGGTACATTAAAATGTACCATAATAAAGACGACATTTTATTTTTTCCTTGTATAATTCAAAAATTTTAAACAATTTAAAGATATTATATAACAAAGTAATAAGATAACCAATATTAAATTATAAAGAGCCATTATCCTACTAATTATAATTTGTCAAAACATTTTTCTGTACTCCTTATCCTTATGAATAAGTGATAATCTAATCTTAATTCCGTAGTAATATAATACATACATAATAAACTGTCAATTTGTATATAAAATTCTATACTTACATGGCAGCCAAGGTATATTCACTTCTATGCGATCAGACCTAGCCCAGTTGAAAGGGTCTAGAATTCCGGCAAACGTTGGTTGTATTACCAGAAGGATGCACCATAACATAACTCTCAGATGTCTGTCAGTCAAGTAAAGGCGACGCATTTGACCTGTAATAACGTTATTACGTTATTATGTATATTTATAACATTATTATTAGAATTACTTAAATCATATAGCGGGAGAGGCCAACGGTAGACTGTTAAGGACTGATAAAATAAATACTTGTTATTTAAATGAAAATGAAAGATAAAAAAGATACAAAAATAAAAGATGAAAACAATTGTTAAATGCCGCAACAAAAATTAAATTACGAGTACATATTTAAATTTTTGTAATATAACACTTGGATGCGAACTTAGATTCAATTATAACTCAAAAGAACTTATAATACCAGTGTAGTAAAGTACCATGCGGTTTTTATATTGTTACGCACCTAAGTCGACGGCACTAGCGCCATCTAGTGTCAGAGACGAGAGCGAGGGGAGCTTTCCAGAAAATGACATCACTAATCTTTCAACCGACAGCGCCATCTAGTCTCGAACCGAAGAACTAAACTTCTAGAAGTTGAAACTCGAACTCTCGGTACCTTGCGCGTGTTTACTTGAATATTCTGGATATTTCGGTGCTAATTTATATTTATAGGCGCTGCAAGATGCGATCGGTGAAGTATTGAATTTGGCGAGACAAGCGAAGCTTCGGAGCGAAATAAAGTGTTTTAAGTTTTAATTGGTGTAAAGAAAATTAAAGTGTTAATTTAGGTAATTCTATCGGCAATTTTTATTATCACGAACCTCAAGCTCGTAACAATTGGTGTCAGAAGTGGGATAAAATCATGTCGATTTTACCTAAAGAGGAAACGGAGGGTGTCCGTACCCGCAGTCAACGCCAGCATGAGACGGACCAGAGGAGATTTGGTGGTGCAACGCCGCAGACGTCGGAGGGCCAACTGCCAGCTACGGAGGCTGCGGGCCCGTCAGTAGCTCCTACATCTGCAGCACCTTACTTAGGTGCTCTGATGGCGATGCTATAGGAGCAGCTGCAGCGCGGACGAGAGGAACAGGCCCGTCTGTTGAAAGAGCAGCAGGATGAACAGGCTCGCCGACAGGATGAACAGGCCCGCCGACAGGAGGAACAGGTCCGTCGTTTGGAAGAGCAGCTGCGGGGCGGACAAGAAGAACAGGTCCGTCGTTTGGAAGATCAGCTGCGGGGTGGACAAGAGGAACAGGCCCGTCGGTTGGAAGAGCAAATGCTCCTCATGAAGGATCTTCACGCTACCTTCGGGAAGGAGATAAAGGAGGTTAAGGAAAGGGTTGCTCAGCATGACAACCGCCTGTTGGAAGCTGAAACCCAAATCGCGAAGGCTGAAACCCAAATCAAGGAAGCTAAAACCCAAATCGACCAAGTGAACAATCGGGTGGACAACGTGGTGGCTGATGTGAAGAAAACGCTGGACGATCTCAAACTGGGGGATGGAACTACACCTCCCGTGGTAGCTACAACACCTTCAGTACGTGGATGCAAAGTGCCGCCGTTCGACGGGACTTCTTCCTGGGCGGCCTACAAAATCCAGTTATGAAGGCAAACGGCTGGAATAAAAGTCAGGCCGTGCTCTCACACTAGGCTTGCGCGACCGGGCCGTAACTGTTCTAGAAGCTCTCGGTAAAGAAGTGACTTACGAGCAGCTCCTTGAGGCATTGGAGGCTAGATATGGCGACGCTCAACTGGAACACGTCTTTCGAGCGCAGCTTAAAGATCGCGTGCAGCGCATCAACGAAAATCTGCAGCAGTGGGCTCTTGAGGTGGAGAAGCTGGTGCGAAAAGCATACCGGTCTGTACCTGCGCTCATAAAAGGGAACCTGGTGCAGACATTCATCGACGGCATCCGCGACCTGGAAGTCAGAGCTGCTGTGAGGCTCGGGCACCACGAGACGCTTAAGGACGCCTTGGCCCATGCACTGGAGGTGGAAGCCGTGCGGCAGGATCATCGTTCCCATCACGTCAGGGAAGTTGCAGCAGCTACAGTTCGCGACCGCAATAAAGGATACAGCCCTAGGTGCTATGGCTGTGGGGAAAGGGGCCATCTTCGATCCAGCTGCCCTAAGCAAACCGTAGAAAGGGAAGTTGATCGATCTCGAGAGAGTAGTGCAGCTAACGGCACCGCCTGGCGGCGTCAGGATCATCGTTCCCCTCACGTTAGGGAGGTTGCAGCAGTTACGGTTCGCGACCACAATAAAGGATACAGCCCTAGGTGCTATGGCTGTGGGGAAACGGGCCATCTTCGATCCAGCTGCCCTAAGCGAACCCTATAAAGGGAAGGTGAACGATCTCAGAAGGGAAGTGCGGCTAACATCACCGCCCAGCAGCAACCGGAATACGACTTTACTATCAGATATCGCAGCGGGAAATCTCATGGCAACGCAGATGCATTGCCAAGAAGACCTTGTCCTGAAGATTGGAAACATTGTACTAGGCAAGAGAGTAAGGAAGTGCTATCCGTGAGGATGCTCAGGACAGACCACCTCAGCAACGAGTGGAAGGACAGCCTACGACATGCACAGCAGGAAGATCCGGACATCAAGCCGATTCTGGAATGGATGAAGGCCCGTGCTACCAAGTCTAAGTGGAGGGACGTCTCAACGATGGGTTCCACCACGAAAAGCTATTGGGCCCAATGGGACAGCTTGCTGATTCAGGATGGAGTCCTGTGCCGTAAATGGGACAATGATCGAGAAGACAGCTGTCGTTTGCAAATGGTTGTCCCTAAAGCTAAAGTGCCGAATGTTCTACAGCTGTGCCATAATGGTCGTTCAAGAGTCCGAGTTAAACGAACTCTGCTGAAGGTCCGAGAACAGTTTTACTGGGTCCATTATCGTGACGATGTCGAGGCTTGGTGTCGTACATGTACAAGTTGTGCGGCCGTGAGGGGACCTCGGACATGTAGTAGAGGAGCACCGAAATTGTACAATGTTGGTGCACCATGGGATAGGACAGCCCTTGACATTGCGGAGCCGTTACAGAAAGGCGCAAGAGGGGCTTCTAAGATCGTCCATGTGGATCGCCTGGCGCGTTATTATGGGGCCGATAATGCTCGGGACGAGCATGTCTTAGGAGGGGGCAGTGTTACGCGCCTAAGTCGACGGTACTAGCGCCATCTAGTGTCAGAGGCGAAAGCTTTGCAGAAAATGACATCACTAATCTTTCAACCGACAGCGCCATCTAGTCTCGAACCGAAGAACTAAACTTCTAGAAGTTGAAACTCGAACTCTCGGTACCTTGCGCGTGTTTACTTGAATATTCTGGATATTTCGGTGCTAATTTATATTTATAGGCGCTGCAAGATGCGATCGGTGAAGTATTGAATTTGGCGAGACAAGCGAAGCTTCGGAGCGAAATAAAGTGTTTTAAGTTTTAATTGGTGTAAAGAAAATTAAAGTGTTAATTTAGGTAATTCTATCTGCAATTTTTATTGTCACGAACCTCAAGCTCGTAACAATATTATATATTTTGATTAATATAAATGCAAAATAGTACTACAGATAAAATTTTGATGTCAGTGCGGTTTAAGTATCTTTATACTGTTATCCCTTACTGTAGCTTACTAGTAAAAAAAATTATTATTCCGATGAAATGTTGTTTACATTTACAGATGGTGATCGAAGACACCTTTTAAGCAAATGTCTTGCCTGTATTAGGTGCCTTCGCTCTACCATAGCTACTTAAAAACTTACTTTATAGTATAAACAATTAATACGCATGCATTATTAATTTGTTATACTATAAAGTTATAAAATGATTCTAATTAAGTTCAATGACAAAAAATACTTGAATGTTTCGTTATCTTACTATCGGGTGAAAATGTGCGCTTGTATGTCACTCATACTTCTTTAGTTGTTAAGTGCATCAACTTTTGGAAGTTAAATTAAAGGTTTAATAATATGATACATTGATACATTATCCCTCGGAATTATTTCTAAGCTAATGTCACTATTCTTCTTCTTGATCAGTATTTAAAATTCAATATTATTTATGAATAGTTAATATAGATTAGCTTATACCGTTATAGGGAGAAATTGGCGGTCTCAGTACCAGACGTCTTGCACATTAAACGCTGCAGCGGCTCGTCGCTAGTGTGGATATTTTACGTCTGGCGTAAACGAGATGCTTATACAGCCATCTATCGGAGACCATGAGAATTTTCCGGCATTTTCATAGTTTTTTAAAAATATAGACTAAGGGTGACAAACGTGTACACAGTCCACCTGATGGTAACTGGATGCTGTGGACATCTACATTTGTCCTTGATTGATTGATTCTTGACTTGATTCTTATCAAAAGGCAGATGCGTTGTCACCCCTCAGCACTAAGATGCATTGCCTCGTTTCCAGTAAACAAGGGTCTCCGGATCTCTGCACTCACCTTACGAAACACAGCATTATTAAGCTGCTATTTTACGCTGGTATTCTGTGAGAGCGTGATCCGTCCCCCGTCGAGCCGACCCATTCATACTACAACCATAATATAACTGCAGCGTGGCTCTACCACGTATAGTGGTAGCTTACGGCAACCGCGGGATGGGATAATCATTAGTTACTAAATATCAATAAACGCGTCTCGTTTAAGTGAACCAGAAATGTTTATTATTTAAGTAATTTAAATACATACTACGCATTCGACGAAAACTGTTTGCTTCGTGGTTCTTAATACGACCATCGTGTGTAATAATTTTGTCTTTACAGTTTATTACAGTGTGACTGTTTTCAAAGCAAGAATTAATAGCCTTTTGACATTGACTTATATGTTACTAGCGTAGAAATCATTGCCTTTTGATAAGTTAAGCCAAGACATTTTACTATGTTTGCCTATAATATTTCCACTTATCTTAAGAATATATTTCGTCATTCAATATTATGTCATTATGGGATACTGGTCAAAAATAGTACGGAATCCGGCTGTAAGATTACTACGATCATGTAGTTTTTAATCAAATCTAATTTTAGTATATAATTATAAGTGGTGGAACACATTTTTCCTATCAAAATTTGAACGCAAGTATTTTTAATTAAAATAATATTAAGTAATTGCTGTTTAAAAAAATATTCACT